GAATTCCAAGGACGCAGGAGGCCCTTCTTTCTTTGTCCTTCCACGAAACTTCCTTTCATCTCTGACCGGGATATCTCTTTCGGGCTTCAGTTTCTGAAGATCTGAGGAATAGTTGAGAGTTTGCGCCGATAGTTGGACGGCAGGGCAGCATTTCGTTCCGGCACGCGAAATACCGCGAGACATACAGGCGACCGCAATAGAATCAGGGGAAGAAGAAGACCTGAAGATCACTGAATCGGACTTAAGGAAAACTCGCGGCAGCCTTCTCGACGCACCGTACGCCGTACACACACATTGTTTACGAGTCTCCGTTTACGAATCGACGGAGATTTCCGCGAGGGGAAAGTTTCACGCAGGCTTTCCTGGATGCCGCGTGCTCGTTTCCTCGCGAAAATTCGCGCAAGCCGTGACTCTCAGCGCTCGAATATTCCCTCGCAAGTATCGAGAAAGAATTTATCGGCGCGGGGAACCGAGCAGCGCCAGCAACGCGATGAGAAATTGCCGATATTTTAAAATTATCGCGACTTGTCAGGAAATAATCACGTAACAGTCCCAGTTTGGTCTCACTTCGCCCTTTGAATACTCTGTTCGTTTCTTTCAAAAGCGTTTTTACATTAGCAAAGTAGCGGATGGGACAGTAAAGATACTTTTCTTCTCGAAAATTGTCAAAATTCAAACGATCCTCCAGAATCGTTGAAATATTAGTTTTTTTTTTCCTTTTTCTTTTTCGTGACTGGACGTATTACGGTCTTGATGATTGGAACTCGATTGTACGATTTTTATTGAACTTTGAACAGTAGGATTGGAATTGAACACGTCAGGATTTCTTGAATTTTCATCATTACTTTGATATTCAAAATTTAATAAAATGGCGAGAAAAAAAGAATCGTACAGCAAGTTTTAAGGAATCGTTGTAAAGAGATCGTGCTGGACTTGATCATGAAAAAAATTCTTTAATACATTTAAAGACGTTTGCAAACGACGAAATGTTAGGATTTCTTAAATCTTTCTTCGCTGAGAATTCTATGGTAAAATGATGAAGAAAAAAAAAAAATCGAACAGCAGGTTTCAAGATCTTGTACAGAGGAGACTTTGGTCATCGAAGAAATTTTTCTACGTTTTCAGAGACGTTCTGAACGTTTACAATTTTCAAGAGTGTCTTTACTTTAGAATCGTGTTTCATGGATTATCATATTGCAAGGCTTCACGAACGAATTATGCAGAAAATTGTTAATACGTGTGAATTTTGTAACAAGAAAACTGTATATAAACCTATGGTGTCAGTAGAATTGTCGATTATTTAAAAATTGGACAGAGCAAGGAAAGGAAATTTTGAAATTATTTGGTCGTACTACTGTTATCGATTCTACGCATTCTACAGTAGTCTGTATTGATTTATATTATATGACACTTACATTAATTTTTGAAATATAAGTACCTGCGTCGTAACTCCACTCCATTAACCGGAAGGCACTATACAGAGATAATTGTTTCAAAGAAATGCAGGTACACGTGTCGCGTGTATGACGAAATGCCGATGCTCGTTTAAAGGAGCAATTTGAAGAATCGCAAGTGGATCGATAATCGCGCATTCTTATCGTAACAATGCATTACGCTGCCGGTGACAAATAATGTGACAAAATCATTAGCGCGCACAACTGTCATCGTTACGTGATAACTGGAAGACGCAGGTGCATTTCATTATATCCGGCATCGTTTATTAACAAATCGATCGTTGCCGGTTTCATATAAATACCAGACAAATTCGCCGGATAGAGCAGTTCATCGAAACACAATTCAAACAAGCTAAGCAAGCGCGAAGTAAGCCAAACGCTAAGCAATCATGCAGTCGAAAGTGTTGTGCCTCCTTTTTGTCACCCTCGTCGCTTACAGCGTCACAGCTGCTAGCCTGTCTGATGTTACAGGAGTCGTGGTAATTTGAAACTTCTACAAAATCGTACAATTTTTTTTTTTTT